AAATTGTCATTATTTGCAGATGACATGATACTCTATATAGAAGACCCCAAGAACTCCATTGAGAGTCTTCTAGACTTAATAACCAAATTGAGTAGAGTAGCTGGATACAAGGTCAACACACAAAAATCAATAGCTTTCTTCTACACGAACAACAGACTCACTGAGAGGCAAACAATAGGGCAAACAATTCCTTTCACAATAGCATCCAAAACCTGAAATACCTAGGAATCAACCTAACAAAAGCAACCAAAGATATCTTCTCTGAAAACTATAGCACTTTGAAAAAAGAGATTGAAAGGGATATCAAAAAATGGAAAGACATCCCTTTTTCCTGGGTAGGAAGGATAAATATAGTGAAAATGGCCATACTTCCAAAATTGCTATATAGATTCAATGCAATCCCAATTGAAGTCCCAGCAGCATACTTCATGGACCTTGAGAAAACAATACATAAATTCATTTGGAACAAGAAAAGACCCAGAATAGCAAAAGCAATTCAAGGTAACAGAGACATGGCAGGGGGTATAACAATCCCCAACTTGAAACTATACTACAAAGGAACTGTGATAAAAACAGCATGGTACTGGCAAAGAAACAGACCTGAGGACCTGTGGAACAGATTAGAAGACGCAGAAACAACACCAGACACACTCAGCCACCTCATCTTTGATAAAGGAGCCAAACACCTTGACTGGAGGAAAGAGCCTCTTTAATAAATGGTGCTGGAAAAATTGGGTTTCAACCTGAAAAAGATAAAAACTAGACCTATATCTCTCATCATGCTCTAAACTAAAACTGAAATGGATTAAAGATCTAAATATTAAAATAGAAACACTGAATCAGCTGAAATAGATGTTAGGTAGAACTCTTGAAGACATCGGTGTAGGAAGAGATTTTATGAACAAAATCTCGGTTGCCCGTGAACTAGCACAAACAATAAACAAGTGGGATATCTTCTTACTAAACAGCTTCTGCATAGAAAGAGAAACCACCAGCAGTATGAAGAGACAACCCGCAATGT